TAGATACTCATTGGTCCAGCGGTCTTATGTTATGCTTATGCTCTGTTATGCATTTCATGTGCGATAGCCTTAACAGTAACCATAAGCCGTACCGTAAGTATTAGCCAATCAGAATTAAGAGTTCAAAAGAATTCTCGACTGTGATTGGCTAATTCTTATGGTACGTCTTATGGTTACTGTTACCGAAGGTGTGTGCGGCAGCCCTTAAGCCCGGATCCTCATACGAGCAACAGCGCTTTGACACCGAACGCTGATTGGTGAAAAACGGGTGATGGGGGTAAATTTTACCCCCACAACCGGCTTTTCACCAATCAGAGCTCTGTGTCGAAGCGCTGTTGCCCGTATGAGGATCCGGGCTGACACTTCCATTCATTTCTTGAGTTTGGCGTGACCATTTAATGTCACCGAACCACCAGATGGCGATAACAACTTAATATTACGACTCATGCGCATTCTGGATATTTACTTCGATTATGTTATGTCGATAGTGTCGGATGTCGCCTGATGTCGGTTTTGTTATTCCGTTTATTCGCGATCTTCGATCTCCGAAAGTTCGAAATCCTGTGGGTTTGCGAATCTAGTCGTTACCGTTGTTACAAGTGTTAAACATATTGTGGTCGTTACCGTTGTTTCACGTGTTAAACAGTAAATCCAATTATGACGGGCTGCATTGTATTAGGTTGTACATCCGGTTACAGATCAAATAAAGAAAAATTACATTTCTTTTCTGTTCCAAGAGATAAAAAACTTCGAGATATGTGGCAAGCAGCTTTAAGGAGACGTAATATTATTATAAAATCTTCGCAGGCTGTATGTGAAAAACATTTTTTACATACAGACATTTTGTGGAAACGTGAAATCTGCGATGAAAAAGGAAACGTCCTTGGTGTGGTAAGTTAGAATTTATGTATAGAATAATGAGATGAATTAGTTAGTATCGTTGGTATAAAGAACACATAGTTTCTTATTTTTAAAAAATGTCCAATTTGCTTACATACATTTTTTAAGATAACTATATGTTTTCTCTGCAATAATCTATACTTTTTGCTCACCCTGTATATTAATTATATTAATCTATAAATTATAAATTATAAACTTTTAGTCTGCACCATTTAAAGTTCCACGACTGCGCAAAGGAACGGTACCATCTCAATTTCCTTGGACTAAAATACAAATTGAAAGTTCTGAAAAGATAAAATATGAAGAAAATTCATTCGAAAAAGAAAATAAAGACAATGCAGCTCATGCATCAATATCATTTGATAACATTTCATTCGAAAAAGAAAATAAAGACAATGTAGCTCATGCATCAATATCATTTGATGATATTTCATTCAAAAAAGAAAATAAAGACAATGCAGTTCATGCATCAATATCATTTGATGACATTTCATTTGAAAAAGAAAATAAAGACAATGCAGCTCATGCATCAATATCATTTGATGATATAATAAATATACTAAACAAAAAACAATTACGTATGCCAAGAAACTGGACATATGCTCAGTGTTATAATGACATGAGATTGTTGGCCTTTTTTTTACCTAAGTGTGATAAACTTGAAAATTATAAAGATGAATATACATTTAATTGTCTCAAAGAAGTTTTTCTTCAAGAAGATATGACGATACGAATAAATATCTTAAAGCAACCTGTTTTAAATATACTATTAGATAGATCAGATATATCAGTAACACCAATAACTAATACTGTTGAAAACATAGAAGAATTGCAAGAATTATTATTTTTTGTCGATAATTTAAAAATATGTCCTGGTATAAATATTTCTATGAATGAAATTGAAAAACTTGGATACACAAAAGCTTATAAAGACATTTATGGTACATTGAGACACAGAAAGTGTTTATTCTTGGTATCACTTATTTTATCAAAATGCAAGTTTTGTTCCAGTGTTCGAAATTCTTTAAATCAAAAACGACGTCGCTTAAAACTAATAAAATGTGCTAAAAAGTAAATTAACTCTGCCAACCGTAATAAATCAAAATAATATTGCTGCGACAAAAATTGTATCAAACAGAAAGAGCTAAAAAAAGAACTAAATATGTACACAACAAATTAAATACAGAATTAATGAATATTATTTTCGGGGCGTAGCCGCCCCGAACCCAAGCATTACTGTCTATAGATCCCACTGTCTACATGGGTTACAAATATTCCAAGCGGACACTGTCTAAGCACTACTACATACGTTTAATTTATTACACATAGTCGGTATAATGACAGATTTCCTAACCTCCATAGTCGTCTACTTTAACGCTAAATATCTCGGTTCGCGAGGCAGAGCGACACTTTTTTCTGCCAGATTCTTTCGTTTCATGCAAAAACGCGTCGAATGAGCCTAATTTTATCGAAATCGGAGGTGAGGGAGGTATTCTAAATAATTACCGTATTGACGAACGCAGTTAAAATGAGAGTTAAATTAGATACTCAAGTAAGGATATATGGTATGCATAGGGGCAAAACCTTTGACTATATACCTCTGGACTGCTAACGGCAGCCATTACTGGAATCCAAGATCTCAGAGCCATTAGGTCC